GGACAACAGAAAAGTGGGTGAAGGGAGACGTCGGACAGTGTAAGGCGTGAAAAAACATCATAATTTATAAATTATCAAGGGTTTGTGAGAAAGGGGGCAGGGAGGGAGGGGAAAAAATGAAGAGCTGTTACCAAGGGCTCAAGTAGAAAAAAATGTTTTGAGAATGATGATGGCAACAACTGTACAAATGTGCTCGACACAATGGATGGATGGATTTTGATAAGAGTTGTTTGAAACCCCAATAAAATAATTTAAAAAATTAACAAGATGTGTATCACGAAAAACTCATGCAAGGATTAAACATTTTTTTTACTCAAACTTGTACTGACTTTTTATATATGTCTGAACAGTGTCTGGTCTGAGGCATTAAAAAGGTTAAGACATCAGTTTGAAAAGAGCCCTGATCTGAGCAATGTGAATTCTGCTAAAATTAAAACAAGAACAACATTAGATTTATGATGAAGTTTGGATGGAAGAATGGTGGCATCAGTGAGCCTTTAATACAGTGGTTCTCAACCTGTGGGTCACGACCCCTTTGGGGGTCAAACCTTTCACAGGGGTCACCTGATTCATAACAAGCAAAATGACAGTGATGAAGTAGCAACGAAAGTAATTTTCTGGTTGGGGGGTCATCACAACATGAGGAACTATATTAAAGTGTCACGACATGAGGAAGGTTGAGAACCAGAGTTAATAAAAGCATATGGGAACAGTGTCACAAGGAAATCAGCAGTTTATACCTGGATAATTCATTTGAAGTAGGAATGAATCTTGAATTCATTTTAAGTTGAAGATGTACCACCCACATCAACTTTTTAGGAAAAAAAATTAATCTTATTGATGCCTTAATTGAAGAGGACTAATTATAAGAAGCATAAACAACAACCAACACAGCAGATAACCTAATTGGTTCAGCTTACATAATTCTGACTGAAAAAAATTTAAATTAAGCAAACTTTACCCTTGATGGATGCCAAAGTGCCCAGATCATCTACAGACAAGACCAGACGTTTCTTTTTGTGTGTGTGAATCATTTTACTGGGGGCTCGTACAACTCTTATCACAATCCATCCGTCCATCCATTGTGTCGAGCACATTTGTACAGTTGTTGCCGTCATCATCCTCAAAACATTTTCTTTCTACTTGAGCCCTTGGTATCAGCTTCTCATTTATTCCCCTCCCCCACTCCCGAACCCTTGGTAACTTATAATTATTATTTTTTTGTCTTATACTGTACAATGTCTCCCTTTACCCACTTTTCTGTTATCCGTCCCCCAGGGAGGGGGTTATATATAGATCATTGTGATCGATTCCCCCTTTCCAATTCACTTTCTTCTTCCCCTTCTGGTATCTCTATTCTCATTGTTGGTCCTGAGGGGGTTTATCTGTCCTGAATTCCCTGTGTTTCCAGCTCTTATCTGTACCAGTGTACATCCTCTGGTCTAGCCGGTTTTGTAAGGTAGAGTTGGGATCATGATAGTGGGGGGAGGAAGCATTTAAGAACTAGAGGAAAAAAAATAGAGGAAAGTTGTATGTTTCATCAGTGCTATACAGCACCCTCACTGGCTCTTCTCCTCGAAACCCTTCTGTAAGAGGATATCCAGTTCCCTACAGAAGGACTTTGGGTTTCCACTCCGCACTCCCACTCATTCACAATGATACGATATTTTGTTCTTTGATACCTGATCCCATTGACACCTCATGTTCACACAGGGTGGTGTGCTTCTTCCATGTGAGCTGTGTTGCTTCTGAGCTAGATGGCTGCTTGTTTACTTTCAAGCCTAAAAGACCCCAGATGCTATATCTTTTGATAGCTGGCTTTCTTCGCCACATTTGCTTATGTACCTGCTTTATCTTCAGCGATCATGTTGGGAAGGTGAGCATCATGGAATGCCAGTTTAATAGAACAAAGTGTTCTTGCATTGAGGGAGTACTTGAATAGAGGCCCAATGTCCATCTGCTACCTTAATACTATACTTATAAATATATGCACATAGATCTATTTCCTCATTGTCATATATAAATATATTTTAATATGTACATGCTTGTATTGAGACCCCTATAAATGCCCTTTCCTCCTACTTCTTTCCTCTATTTCCTTTTCCTTTCCTCTTGCCCCACTATCATGTTCAGCCTTCATGTGGGTTTCAGTAATTCCTCTCAGTTACATTGCCCTTGATCAAGACCTACCAGGCCTCCTATACCCTCCTTGCCATCTATTTTGGATCACTTATTATTCCTTTGTCCCTGGGTTTGTTAATGCCGACTTCCTTTCCCCTGCCTTCCCCGCTCCCTTGTGTCCCCCCTGCACCTGAACCATCGGTCCCATTGTTTTCTCCTCCAGCTTGTTTATCCCGCCTGTCTTATCTAGATAGACCTGCAGAGATAATAATATGCACAAAACAACAAGACAAAGCAAAACAAAAAGCTCTTTCTAATACACATATGAGTGTCTCTGGATTTGTTTCTCTAGTCACCCCAGACTAACATGGGATCCAATGGCGGTGGAGAGAGAGAGACCAAGATCTCCAGAATATTTCATTCTTTTAATTAAATAAAACCAAATAGCCCACTCCAAAAGCTCAAAGCCACTATCATCATAGCAACCCGACAGTGCAACCAGAGCACCTTAAATAGAGAACAGCTGTTCTAAATCATAATGAGAAGTTGGGAGGCTGGAACTTCAGATCAAGGGGAGTGGAACAGTTAGAACAGAAATAGCATGGACACAAGGTGAAGAATAGAGCCAGTGTTGCTGATTGGAATGTCTAGAAATTGTTGAGCAGGAGCTCATTATGCTGTGTGTATAATATCACAAGTAAAACTCATTTAAAACATTGGAGGAACTATCTTGTACAAAGGCTGTGTTCTTGATCGTATTTAAGACTAGTTGATGGAACTATGTGTAAATTCCTCAATCTCATGGTTAACAGAAGCAGATCATTCAGATGACCTATAACGAGTCTATCAGCCCTGAGATTCTATAATTAAATCCTTTCAGCAGTCTGTTTTTGTCACACCTTATTGGGTAATTTCATTTGCACAAGCTTTATACTAGTACCTGCATGGCGGCTGGAAGAAGAGGTAGCAGATGAGCTGTTTGGGTTCCATGGGACTGTGGTTTTCTAAGCTCACGCTGTTGGTTGTCCAGCTTGTAAGGGACCTCTCTTTTAAGCACGGTGGGTAATTATGCCTATTGTATTGATTATCTTATAGGTGACTATAGGGCGAGGATATGGTGTCACCTACCAACTGGTTTCTAAAAGCTGCCCATTGATGATTTCCCGAAACCATTGTATTTTGAAGCAGAATGCTGAAGACCAATGGACAATTATGGACAACAAGGTACAGGAATTCCCAGAAGCCTGATGATTTTCATTTCATTTTAAAATTTTTGTTTTTAATAGATAACACATAGTACATAATTGAAAACATTAAAGACGAATCATTTTCTTCTTCGTCATCCACTACTTCCTCATTGGTAATTGCTTTTCTATATCTGCCAGAGATTAAATTATCCCAAATAATTTCTAGTGACTTTTAAGTTGGAATTACTTTGAAGGGAACACTTGAAGTGGGGTTGTAGATCCTGTCCTAGACACTCCATGGAATGAATGATCCAAAGACCTTGGGAATCTGCTGTAGTTTCTAAAGTACATTGCTTGGTGGGGTGGGGAGGGGGCGGGAGGTAGGGGGATGCAGTGCAGGAGTGGGAGGAACTGAGCTTGTCAGTGCTTAACTAATTTCTCTTTTCACTTCTTTTAATCTCCCTTTTTAAAAAACCTGTTTCATGTATTGGTGTTTTGAGGGAATTTTCATTTGAATTAAGGGTTTTCCTTCTTTAAGCAAATTTGAAAACTACTACTCTATTAAGAGCACTCGGCATATGGAATTCAGGACAGATAAAGCCCTCAGGAACAGTAGCGACATCATGAGGGTAGGGGGATTGTGGGAGTGGGAGGTAGGGAAGGGGGAGATGGGGAATCCATCAAAAGATTGGAATATAGCCCACCACCCAGGGGGATGAATAACAGAAATGTGGGTGAAGGGAGACCAGAAAAAGAAAAGAAAACTACTGCTCTACGATGAATATACTGAGGGAGGTGAAATCGTGTATAAAGCCCAGCATTTAGGAAGTACCTGAAGTGCGGATATTTAAGCACTGGGACTATAATGAATGTGTAGACTATGGTGAGCGAAATTCTAATGTAAACAGTAAGGTTTAGGAAGCATGAAATGTCCTCAGGCACCATATTACATAGCTTCATTGCTTTGCTTGGGAGGATTTAAGGATATGTGTTTGAAGGGAGGCTTGCCTAGCAGCCTCATTTTGCATACATGAAACTACTGGATTCAGGTTGTTGGAAAATGTTTCTTCCTGCTTTAGAATTAGGTTGAGTTGGCACTATATTGAAAGAGAGGGTGTAAATGCTAAGTAAATTGGTTCAGTACCTTTAGCAAGGCACTAAAAATAGAATAGAAGTTGCCACTAAGAAGGGAATCTTAGAGATAGTTTTACCCCTTAAGTGGAGAGGCGACTTGCAAGTCCATCTGTGTAACTGGCTAGTGAGTGAATGAACAGGACTCACACTTATGTCGAGCGCTCCATTATGACCTATTGTCAAATACCATACAGGATATAAGCAATTTGCTATCTGGGGTGCATGATTTTAAAAACCTCATTATTAGGCATACGAAGTTGTGTTAGGCCAGGTCGACTAGAGAAAAAAATCCAGTGACACTTATATATGTATAAAAGAGAGCTTTATATGAATAAGTAATTATATATACCAGGAAAACATCCCTGCCCAGTACAACTCAAGTCCATAAGTCCGATCCTCATCCATAAGTCCCTCAGCCACAGGCAGTGATGCAGAATGCAGGGGTGGGGGTGGAGTACAAAGTCGCTTAGATCCGAGGCCTCTGGAAAAGACGACAGGGCTCCAGCGGTTCTCAGGTGGCCACCAAGCAGGAAAGTCAAGGCAGAGAGAGAGACACCAGTCTCCCAAGAGTTATGTGTTTCAGTCCATTCTCCAAGAGAGGTCATCAGACTGCAACCTAATTGATAGGCTAAACTCTACCCATAACTTTTTACAGTTGCCATATTGGCACCAAAAAAATCTAACGATCACAGAAGGTAAGTTGCTGTAATATCATAGAAACTTTTTATTTAACAAAAATAAAATGTAAAGTTACTGTTCCTCTACATTCCCTCATCTAGGTCTATGCCCTTCTGAAAAGTGTCCCTTACTCTACTCCAAAAAATTCTGTACTCTTTAATTGTACCACATCAAAATGGCAGTTTTGGCATCCTCAAGGGACTCAAATAATATCCCTTTTAAATCTTTGAGTTTGAGGGACAAAAAGAAGCCTGTCCAGGCAAAATCGGGGTTATATGGTAGATGGAGTAAGGTTTTCAATGAAATTCCCATAGGATAGACCTTGCTACCCTCTAAGAATGTGCAGCCACATTATTATGATAGAAAAAACTTTCTTGGCTTTTTCCTCACCAATGTAGTTTTCATTTAAAAAAAAAAAAAAGCCTTCATAATAGGCCCCTGTGATCATCATTCTGTTGTGTCCTTGGAAGAACTCTATCAAGATTTGAGATCCCCAAATAGTAGTTCAATCATATCAAGAGGAATGATACAATCATCACCACAATCGACTTTAGAACATTTTCTTTTCTGTTTCCCCCTATGGTTAAATTGTATTACAAATGAGTTGTGTAATCACCATTAGTTTTAGTGCTCCCTCCCTTCTCCCACATTCATTGTTGACTCCTGAAATCCCCTCACCCTCCCTGTCTCCCATCTTCCACCTCTGCCTCCTCTGTAGACCCTTGCAGTTATTATCTCTGTGCATCCACTCCTTTTGTGCTTCACAAACTGGAAAGCCCAAAGGAAACAATAAAAAACAAAAATGAAATAAAGAGGTAAGGAGAAAGTAATAATAATATAAAGATAAAAATACAAATAATGAATAAGAAAGAGAAGACCACCATCAGTATTTTTTAAAGCCTGGGATGAATTTTGTGTCATGGAACACAGGAGACACTTATCTCGAGCACACATTCATGTTGGGTCAAGAGGAAGGTCAACTGACCGTTTATCAAGTTTGATCCAGCATCACCAAGGTGACCGTGCTCTCTGTTTGAGGAAGGCTGTTCCAGGCCCTGGCCGGTGGCTAGAGGGCATCTGCCAGTGACTTCATCCCATTAGATACTCTGCAGATGAGGTTTTGGCTCCTACTGCCCTCCATAGCCTTCTACAAATTGGGTGGTCACAATTTTAGCTCTGATACTTCTCCCTTCATCATATTTGAATTTTATTTGATTAGACCTTTTTTTGGAATCACCCCAAGGAGACTAAGTTAAGTGGATGACTGAGAGAACTTGTCTGCAGCCATCCACCGATCACACAGACATGTTTAAGCATGTTGTTTGAAATAAACCCAAGTGAACCGATCATAAGAATCTAGGTATTGCCTCCTCCCTGGGGGAGGGACAGCAGAGAAGAGGGCGGGGGGGAGATGTCAGACAGGGTAACTTATGACAAAACTATAATAAGTTGTGAATTATGGAGGGTTCATGAGGGAGGGGGGAAATGAGGAACTGATATTAAGGGCTGAGGTGGAGGGCAAATGTTTTGAGAATGATGAGGGCAGCAAATGTACATATGTGCTTGACACAATGGATGGATGTATGGATTGTGATGAGAATTGTACAAGCCCCCAATAAAATAATTTTTAAAAATAAATAAATAAAAAGAAAGAGTAAGGGGGAATAAAAAAGAAGTAAACCCAAGCTTGTATAAGCTAGAACCTAGCAGCTATCTTTTTAAAGTTATCCTCATACTTAAGATATAGCTGCAAGGTTTTTGTTGTTATAGAAAATATGTTGCAGGTTTATTAATTCAAAAGCTGCAAGCTTTGAAAGCCCATGCAATAGCTTAGATTGGAGCACTGTTGGAAAGGGTTTTTTCAGAGCAGGCAATCTGAGGAACAGGGTTTTAGAGTGTTCTAAAGGCTAGTTCTCTGCTGCTGCTTCCCTTGGTTATGTGCAGTATGACTGTGCTCCGTTTATGGGATTAGCAGATTTTGAGGGTTTGAGAAGCAACTAGCTGACTGATTTCTGTGTTCTTTGAATGTCAGGCCAGGGGCATAGCGGCAGCTTTCCCAACTAAGATCATGTTGTGCCCTGGAGTTAACAGTACAGTGTTCACTTTGTAATCTTCTAGGTTTTACCATGTGAATCCATTTTATGCCACAGTTAGATAATGTAGAGGAGAGAGAGGTTCCTGACTCCTCCGCATCTTGTTCTGTACATTTGGTTAAGCCTTTTAGCTGTAATTCTGATATTTGAGAGAAACTATGACTCCAGTGTTTTGATACAACAGCTATTCTTTTCTTTTTAAAATAAGGCAAGAATGTTATTTAATATTAAAATTAGGGACGCGGCTTCACTTGATGACAGTGTTTGCATTCATGTTTGTATAAAGCCACTTACCCCACCACCTTAAATATTTTTTCTTTTCCCCTTAACAGATGTTCCCTTTCTTTCTGCCTGCTGCTTCTTGGCATGATGCCTAGACTGCCCTCTTCCATTGATTAGAGACTTGAGTTTCAGCACAGGATACTGTGGTTATGGCCACATGCCAACTCTCTTTCAAGAAGTAGATACTTTGAATAATTCAAGATTCATATATGTTCCCTTATCGTAGAATGATTTCTCATCTGCCGAGATGGCCATAAATTGAGAGATCAAGTGTACCGACTACCTCTGCCCATTGCCATCAAGTGGTTCCGGTTCCTAGTGACCTTCTAGGACAGAGGAAGACAAAAGCATTAGGGCCCCAGGACTGTCATCCTTTACAGAAGCTGCAGCCGGCCACAGCGCTCCCTGGCAGAGTGGTTGGGGCATTGACGCCGCCAACTCTTCAGTTAGCAGCCAAGCACTTTAACTACAACATCACTAGGTCTCCTCTGAGCTTAAGGATAGATGTCCCGTTCTGACAAAGTAAATTTGGGTTTTAAATCAGCTTAAAAATAATAAATTCAGGAAAATCCTAAGTGTCCATCAGTCGATGAATGGACAAACAAAAGGTGGCTCATATGAGGGTAAGTAAAAGACTATTGCTATAAAGTTATAGAAACGTTTATTAAACAAAAGTATTAAAATGGCTCCCCCTCCACGTGGATCACCAAGCGGGGCTGAGCAAAAATATGGCAATCTGAGTTCCTTTTGAAGGTGACTTCCATGGCCAAATTGAAGTTGCTCACTCTCTGATGGAAACATCCCTTCCGCATGAAGCATTCATCTTTGCCACATTGCATGGCCATCACTC